GCACTTCTACAACCGACGTCGTATCAAAAAAAAATGATTATCAAACTCCGGCGTTTAAGAAAAACAAAAGTACAGATGAACCGGGTAAAGAAACCGTGGTAAAAAGAAAAACACCACCTACAAAGGATGGCAGGAGGAATTACACATCAAGAAGAACGCGCACACGGCCACAGAGTCAGGTGCCAGCAAGGCCGCCGTTCCGGAAACTGAAACGCCAACAGGAGGCACAGAAGTACGAGGAACAGAAGAAATTCAAGGACTCCAGACCGGAGGACGTCAAGACCAGCCGTCCCAGGCAGAAACGCAAAAGCCAACAACCAGACGATTACTCCGTCAAGAGGCCAGCATGTAGAGGACGCAAAAGAAAGATCAACGGGGACGACAATTGGAGATCAACAAGGAGAAGATTGACATCCATGACACCTCTAACTTGGGATCAATTTTGTCAAAAACGGATGACGGAGTTTCAAGCATCGAAAACTCAAAGATAAGTTAAAACCTTCTATAAATATTTTTCTCTTTTGTTCCGAAATGTTATGCATAAGTACGAAGTTCTATGTTTTGACGAAAGTCAATATGTCTCGGTTGAGACTTAGTTTTGTTTTACTTTATTTAGCTAAGGCAAAAGTATTATTTTCTTTAAGTGTAAAAGCTAAAAACAAGCATTTTCTGTTGGTCGAAAGACTAATTCTGTTATGTTAAAGCCAAAATTTGGCCGGAGATAAAAATAACTTCGTATTCTTGTATGTACTAATAAGAATTTTAGTTTCAGTGCCGCCAGCTTGGCGAAGATTGAGTAAAGTAAAAATTTATTTCTCTTATTCATTTTATGGTAAATTGTAAAAAGCATATGTATTAAACTTTTGTAAATGTATGTAAATACTTGCATGTTATGTAAAAGTAGAATTTAGTCTAGAAGCATAAAATTGTAGATGCTAAAAGTGAATGCTTAAAAGCAATGAAGTCAAAATTTAAGTATTAAACTGTAAAGTCATGCTTTAGAGCGAAAGCCTGCATGTTTAAAAGATGAATGAGGGGGAAGTTAGAATGAATGTGTTTTGTAGGGTTCTCCACCTACATTTGAATTTTTAAGAATATTAAAGTAGCTCATTGAGTTGTAGAATGTCGAGTAAGGTGTGTCTATTTGGTTGTTGAATTCTAACAAATCATGGTGGTTAGGGGAAGTGTTGTAAGACTAAAACACGAATATTCCCGTTTGACACCACAACACGGTGGAGAGCCAGGGTAAAGTTAAATTAATGCTTGAAAAATTGAATGAATGTGAAGTAAGCAATAACTAAGAAAAACGAAACGTTAAAAACAAAAATTTATTGTGTCAAGAAAGTGTAAATTATAATGTATGTAGAAAGATACTGATACTTATTCCTTCCAGATGCTGGAAGGAAAGACCAAGATTGATTGATGAAGTCCAGGAAAAGTTGCTGTAAGAAGAAACCTTTGTAAAGAGTAACAGAATTTTAATTGTTACATAAGATTATTTTTGTGTAAACGAGGCTTCGCCAGTTAGTTCAGAATTAGATAAACTTACAACAGGTCGTTTAGGACCTGCTTCCAATTTTCCAAATTCTGGCAGCGGCAAATGTAGGGTTTATTTTATTTTAACTAACATTTATTTTAAGTTTAAACTATCTTTCCTGTCAATCCTTACTTTCCCCTGGAACTGCCAATGCCAGAATATGTAAATTTGAGTAGAACGCGCAAGCATTCAAATTATCAGCGGAAGTAGTATGATTTAAATAGAAGGAAACAAGTTCGGTGAGAGAGAGTTATTCTTACTTAGCGAGCGCGGAGGTAGTTATAGAGATTTGAAAAACCCCGCGTTGCGGCCTATGTGCTTGGCGGGAAGTAGTTGCAATTGTTCCAGTGAGCTTCAAGTCTGCTGAATTAGCAGCCGTATTGTAAAACGCGGTGAGTTAGTTATTTGAGAGAGCCTCGTAGTTAGAATATTGTCTTTAATTTCTTTTCAGGTTTTTATTTTTATTTTGACTGCCGAGTTGGCACCGTTTGTAAGCGTCAAGAGAACGCAATTGTAAATTAGTACGTTGAATAAAAAGGGACTTAAACCCTTTATAAGACTCTGTGGTTTATACAAGCTTTCACAGTCACCTCTTTGGTTGCGTGCTAGTTAGAGGCGCGCAACGTTAAGTTCAGAACTGTTTTAATAATAAGGAAAGACAAATGTAAAATAACGCCCTTGGACGTAATTTAATAAAACTTTCAGATTTTCTTTTTTAATTTTTTATCTAATTTTTAATTTTATCAAGAATACTCAGTTTCGTTAGTTAGCAGCAATACGTATTGCACAAGTACCTAAAAGTTTTAAAGCTATAACGTCTCGTGTTCTTTGGTAGCATGAACTCGTTTAATTCATCGAAAAGGATGGCAAAAAGCGTTCAGCACCTGCAGACATTCGTAAGCATACAAGCAGTACAGCTAAAGAAGCTCCAGGAATTAAATGCCAACTATATAAACACAATGCTATTACGGAACTGTCATACCTTATGCAGACTCATGCTGACATCCTAGGATGCAGACATATTGAAGTCTCACTCACATAGTCTTCCTTTTTCCTGAAAATTTTGGAAACCCGATTGATCAGACAAGGTATTCATATTCAGTTTTCCAGTGTTCGCCTAGGCTTCAGCAACCAGGCAAAGTGAACTACGTAATTTTGTATAGGGCACTCATTCTAGATCCGTGGCTCATTGAAGTCTGTATCACAGACTGTTCCATTTGCTCGAAAAGTTGGAAACGCGATTGATCAGACATCATGTTCGTATCCAATTATTAAGTGTTCGCCTGGGCTCTAGCTTCCAAGCTTAAGTGAACTGCATAATTCTGTATCGTAGATTAATCGAAAATACTCCATTTAGGTATCGACTTCTAAAGACCGTATAATGATAATAAGGAAACATTCTTGTTGCGTGAAATCGTTCTTTCCAACAGATGTTGGTCATCTTCATTCAGCTTCGTTTAGTGGCTACATTCTAGCCGTGAGTTCAAAGTTTTGTCAGAATTCTTCAAGTTACAGTACATTTCTTAGATGCTAAACATGTGAAATCGAAATTCTGCTTCTCCTTCCCAAACGCGATGACTCATTTCTCAAGCTCTAACTATTAGGCAGTATTAAAGGCGAACTAAATGGTAAATGTCACCCATTCTTATGTTGTTAACAGCTCTAGAAAACTCGGCAGATGTCTGCCACTTTATATTTGCTCCACTAGACGCCCCGTGACCTGAGAGTGTTACTATGTTTGGTTTAATTTATTTAATTATAGCAAAGCACGCGAGGGCTATCTGCCTAAGTAGAGGGATGCCCTTTCTAAGGAAAACTGGCTCCTATACATGTTACATTAGGAAAAATATACAAACTCCCATGCAGCCGGCCCTTTCGCCTAGAATCGAACCCAAATCGAAACTACCAATGTTCAGCGACTTCTTTGACGCTAGGACGCTGGTGGATATATATTACTATGTATTGCGTTTTTGTATTCATTTGTACCATTAGTTTTCTTAGTACTTTTTCTTATATTCTCGTCTAAAAGCTGAGCTGAGGAAAAATATTTACACAACAAATGAACACTTCTTTATTCAGGTATAAATTTACGAATCATCTCAGTACATTATAAGGCATATTTTTTATCTTAGACAGAAATCATTATTATGGCAATAAGTATAAACATCTATTAAAACTTCATTTGTCAAAAGAGTATTGTTGTAAAATTATAAGTAAACGCAAACTTGAAATGTAATATAAAATGAAATTTTTTTTAATGTACGAACATTAAAATAAAGCTGTTGGGTTAATTTTATGTAAGAAAATAAGATTAACAATTTAAGTTCATGCTAATATAACGCATATTTGCAGTATGTAACTACGTAAAGCATAATTTTACCTATTTATGGATATTTAACTATATATGTCAATATTTAACTACATTTCATTTTGAAAGGGCATAGGTAAATCCTTTTTTCTGCTTCTTTCTGCACTTTTTTTGCAAAATATTTTATCCAAGGACACTATTGGCTGATACAGTCCATTGAAAACCTGTAAAGCTTCTTCTCCGCAGGACTTCTCAAGATTAGATTTCACGCAGTCCAAAACTTTGGTATTATACCTAAATAAATAAAGGATTGAATAAAGCAGACTTATGTATTTATTAAAAAAATAAATTAAGTAATAAAATACAAATTAAGAAGGAAAAAAAAAAAGAAAATTTTAAAAATAACGTAAAAATTCGAAATAGTTTTTCTTCTTGAAATTCAGGGCTCAATGTAGTTTCCCAACCTATTTTGGTTGGCCGCCTAACGCCTTCTCTTTTGCTTAGCAATGATTTATGAGAATAAATGTCATCTGTAGCCAGTAAGCGAAATAAGTATAGATATTTTTGAGTGTATGTATCTGCTGTTTAGCACTGTGTTGAACTATTAATTCGAACTTGTTACGAAATTCAAAAATAAACTAGCAATGAGACGGTGAGTACCGGCACGAATCCAAATTCTGTTATTGTTGTTGCTAATGCTCACATGGCTGACCTATTGTCAGTCCAAGCCTCCGAAATTCCTCGTGGTAAGAAGCGCAAGTTTGCGCCTGTTGTTGGCAACAGCCTTGAGTACCTTACAGGTGAGAGTGCGATTAAGCTCAGCTCCTCCCCCAAATTTGGAGAGCAATCCGAAGGTCTCCCACCTCTCTTCCCCTCCCATTAACCTCTCGAGAGAACTTTCGGCTCACCGCATGTTTAGAGTGCCCCACGCAGCAAAGAAATTATACATTTGAGAACATCCATGCCATCTCCTGGACTTGAACCCGGTCTCTTCGGCACAGCAGTCAGCGACGCTAACCACTATACAGGTTTCGCGGCCGAAATTCTGCGTATATATAAATATTATGTCCCTGAAAATTAAAACCACTATCAGACTTCTTAGCTAACCTCAGCTACGCATCGAAAGAAACATTTCCGGCTATTATCGTTTCCGAGATACTTGATTGTTCGCCTACGCTAATGCAAGTTCTTTTGTGAAAACCTAGACAAAATAGATTGGAAGAAGAAACATTTTCCTCAGCCACATAAAATGTTCCAGCGTATGCGTAACAGATCAGTGAGCGCAGGTGTTTCGGCTAGAAATCTCCCATTCAAACTAGTGTTCGCAGAAGCAACTTTCTGAGAAATTTTTCTTATACATACCTTCGCTTGTCCCTATCTATTTTAACTCCATTAGTAATATCACCTTGCTGTCGATCAGCAGCATTGTAAACAATCGACTAAATACGTATTTTGTATGCCACATACAATAGACATTATGAATAGTGAGGGAATTCTTAGATATTGTAAGTCCGATCTATAGTTGTCAGTGGGATATTCCCAGGTCAATTCAGTTTCGCTAATGATGAAGGGGGACAACTGGACTATACCACTGATTAAAAAATATTGTCCCACATTCATGATTAACTAAATTTATAGTTTTTTTAATTATTTTAATATCATTCATTTTCTTTAATTTTTCATATTTCATTATGTAATTTAAATGTATAAATTTTAAAACATATATGCATGAAGGAGGATTAGAAACTATAATTAAAATAACACGCAGTTGCATTAAAATTAAAGTCAATTTCATTAAATCAGCAGTTCGTGGAATGCACTAATTCGAGCAAACATTCATAAAATGGAGTAAACAAAAAACTGTGATGTTTTAATAGTAAGCCATAAGCCGCTGCACCTTACAACTTAAAAATAAAAAAGTGACTATGACTTAAGTTACTATGACTTAAAAATAAAAAAGTGAAATTTTAAAAGAAAAAGTGCATATTGCAGGTCATAAATAAATAACATATTATAAATATGAAAGCTTTATCAGTATCCACATGAAGGAAATACATTAAAAATTATTTTTTAACAAACAAATAAACAAAAAAATCTGAAAGGTTTCAGATTTTAAATTACGTCCAAAAGGGGTATTTTTTAACATTTTGTGTGTTACCTTTATTTATTAAATATCATGCTCTTCTCACTTAAACCCTAAAATTCAGTTCAACAGCAATATCGCAAACTAATTTTAAATTGAGCATATCTTTAGAATTTCTGATACACAGTCTCACGCGTTGGAGATGTGAAATGTTTTTTTTTTTTTCTGTACAAAGTTGCCATTACTCGCTTTGATATCCTTGAGTTTGTTAATCAGAAATTCGTTAAAGTTTTACAAAATATGAAATCGACAAGAAAACAAATTCCAAATTTCGGCTTTCAGAACCCATATTCGCAGTAGGATTACGTCATTGAAAATTGGATTGCTCTAGGGTACCGTTATTTTATCACAATGCGAGATACATACATACATTTAAGCAGATTCTTCCTTATTTAATTTCTTCAAATATAATACAGGGCGATAGTATTTGGTGGCAAAAAGTGATACAGCTTTTTAAAGATTTCAACGCAAAATGCCAAAACGAAAACCATAGTCCTTCAGAGACAAAGCCCCTCTGGACTAAAATGCGTTCGCTATCCTTTCTGTATTGGATGAATTTTGCCTTACGACATTTTGACCAAATTTCCAGCCCAGAATGGTTAGTCCTTGGGTTTTCAGCCCTATAACTACATACGATGCTGAGCGGATGGCCGATCATTGCTGAGCGGATTGCCGATTGTTTCGACAATTTCAACACGGGATTCAAAATTGTCTCCCAGCAGTATTCTTCAACGAACGACGCGAGAATTCGAATTTATAGATAGATAGATCCCGTTTATATCTTTACTGCATTTGATACTTAACTATCGCTGATTAACTATATCAAATATACTTACTGAACTTTTTGATACTTACGCACAAAATTGACTTGGTTTTAGAGCTGGTACTGACTTCTTACATGAGTTATACAATTCAATGGTGACGTTATTCAAACAAGTCACGTGTTTCAAAAATTCTGCGAAAGATAGAGCATATTTATCATATAATTCATTTTATCTGATGCACATTTTATTACCATCAGGTTTTCAAATGATATATTAATAACAGAAAAATAAACGCTACTGATAACGTCTATTTCCTGAAACAGATAGTAAAGTAACCTTAATATAAGACAGTTGGGAATCTTGATAAAAATTATAATAAAATAAAATAGTATGTAATATAATAAATAAACTAAAATAACGATTTTTAAAAAACTGAATTATAATCATAAAAATAAAGTAAAAAAGTTAATTATAAAATATGCAGAAAGTCGCAAACTTGTGCCACAACTTATTCTGTGGTATACCGCATTTACACGGGTAGTTTTCCTTTTAACTAAGCATAAAGTTCTAAAACTTTCTAAATATTCGTGTAATTTATCCCTTCCTCAAGGCGTTCTGAAAACAAACTTCCCTATAATTTTAAAATAGAATCGTCTATTCAGTGATTGCTTTACTAATGGATTTGGGGTGCTTGGGCTCTGACTGATTAAGCAAAGTTAGTGAGGAGCTTCAAAACTTAATGCCTTCCATAAAAAACTCAGCTATTTTCGCAAATCCCGCATTGGTCAGATTCAATTGGTTAAATTAAAAACGGAAAACCAGTGGTGAACCAAGTGAAGGTACGTTTTATACGTTTTATTTACCTTTGTAAGGAACTGTCTGCGATAAACGTAAATAACAGGCATTACCTCCCTTCATTTTAATCATTAAGATACTTTCTATATGTAGTTAATATTTAATCAATAAGTGGTATTTTCTGTATGTTTATTAAGTATTACATCATTTTCGAAGAATAAAGTTGAGATTAATTGAAATTTATGTATCTCATTTTGTATTGTATTATTATTCAAGATGATAATTTTTCAATAAATAAAATAAAGCTGGTTATATAATGTAAACATTGATAAAAGCCAGACCACATAAGTTTAAGAGAAAAAGTAGTTTCAAAATCACTATTCGAGTGACAGGCAGTTTTTATATTATAAAGTTAGATTGGCTTGCTTTATTCTGTTTGTTTATTTGTCGAGGTCCTAGAGCGAATCCGTTGCCTTTAGTAGAGTCAGATTAAATTGTTTGTATTTACGAGTATATCACGTTTAAGAAAGCTTGTCTTTAAGTCAGGTCCAATTACTGGTAAATTTGTGGGGTATATTTCTAGTTTAACGCTTCCAAATGGCGGGAGACAGTAACTTTTAAGTGAAGATAATTCTGCGTCTGTTTATTTTATGAGAATAGAAATTCTAGTGGTGATAATTCACACCACAGTATCTACGTCCCACCTTAATTTGAATTAAAGTGAGCTATTAAATTAAAGTGAGTAAATTAAAGTGCTAGTTAAAATGAGCTTAATATACGTGTTACAATGTAATATACGGCAATGTGCGAGATCATCGTATAATAATTAAATTATTTCAGTTAATGCTCGTCAATTTGTAAATATGCTTTTCTTCTTAATTTAGATTTAATAAAATTCAATTGTTACATTGCAAAATATTAAACTAACTTGTAATCATTTGAATTTATCAAAACGTAAGCAAAAGAATATAAGAAGTGAGATTCGATACTGTAAACAAATTTGTAAGAACTGCATTTAAATTATCCCCTTTACAGTTTAATAATTAAAACAGACTGCAGTACATTTATCGGGAAAGTTACTTTTACAAAATTAAACTTACAATGCTAGTATATTTGTTAATAACAGTAAGCTAAACTTTATTATGTGTATAGCAGAATAATTATAAGTAGTTAAAAAATTAGGATATCCAATCACATGCTGAAAGAATCCTCTGCAAGGATAAAAGAAATTTACTTACGACCCCGAAATGAACTCAATTTAAAACAAAGTTTTCCATAAAGCTTTTTTGATTCCTTCATGTAATCTTCAAAAAGAGCAAGAAATGAGTCCGGACATCTTTGCACGTAAGCGATTTGGCAGTCAAGGACCACTTGTACATTCCTGCACAAAGTAATTCAGAAAAAAAAATTACAAGTTATACATTTTTCAATTAATCAGTCCTAAGCATTGTATATTACTTGTACTTACCTTACTGCGAAACTCAATTTAAACAAAATATTTTCTCAATTTATGAGTGCTTCGATGCTAAGTAACTTAATTAAGTGCCAGTACATATAAGGATTCTCTACTTCAGTGCTTAGATTATACGTTGTATGCAATAAAATATTCAGAACCAAAGAATAAGTGAACCCGGCATTCAAATATACGAATATCGTGTCAAGATGCTGCTTGTTCAAACTGCTGAAAACGATTTGCTATTGTTTGAAGAGATACTACCTATATAACATGTTCATCTTGTTGAAACTGTACATCATGTTAAACGAGATCACAGATACTTCAACTGGAGATAAATCTAGCATGGTAATATGATGGCACTTAGTGAATATTTCATTATAAAAATGTAATTCCTAAAGGCTGTATGATATTTGACATTTCATAGGCCATTGCTTCATATCTAGGAGAGTATGATAATATTCCTGCTTGTAAGCACTTCAAGATGTAAGTCGAGTCTGTACTTTGATTTTGTGATACTTCTTGCTGAAAACGATGATATTTGCCATTTTTTAACTTTTTACAAATAACTGGGTAAAATGACTAATTGGCCGGAATGCCAGGTCCATACCTTCTAATTGGGACAATCTAAATCAAACTGGGATGTCTGGTAAGCCCATTGAAAGCAATAAATATTTAACTATAATTAATTTATTTTTTCAACAATTAATGCTTATATTTCTAGAATTAATTACTAACTATGAGAAGATTTTACATAATATTTTACTGTAAACTTAAATATTTGTTAGCCTGGTTGCACAGCAGTGGGCACACGGAAAACCGTTGGTGGGCCCGAGGGTGTAGAGTTGAGGCTTCTGGCATAGATGATGGTTCTATAGAGTCTAGAAGTAGTTAGTATATTATAGTATAGGGCCTAGACTATTATTTCCTGATTTAAAGCTGTAGTGGACCAGTTTTGTCCATAACGTCGGTGCCACACGTTTATTCATCCAGGACGTCTCCAAAACGATGCCCCGTTGTAAATGTAATTTACGATGATAACGATAACGATGCCTCGTTATAAGTTCTGTCCATAACGTCGGTGCCACACGTTTGTTCATCTAGGACGTCTCCATAACGATGCCCCGTTGTAAATGTGCTAGGACTATAAACAGTTAATAAAAATAACGTACAGCTATTGCTTAACATTGAAATGGCTTTCCAAACAGGATTTGTTCTGGAATTTTTAACAAAAGACTTTGCAAATTTTTGCTCATTAAAGAATCTCTTTTCCCCCACTTCATTCCTCATATATAAAGGAATGTAGCAACAGATAATCAGCTATCCGTCTTTCTTTAGGATCATACCTGCACGCGCGTACTTGCCGCTGAAAATAAGTAAATAATGTTAAAGTACAAAGAAAAATCTCGAAAAGAGATTCATCAAAATTTAATAAAAATAGAGTATATTTCGTTATTTGGGTTTTTTTATACAAAGAAATTCCCACCTCGGACAAATCCTGTGACTGAACGCTACCTAGAGGAATTTGTAAAATAATATTAATTAAATACCGGTTTGACTGCACAGTGATTCTCTCATTTTCCATGCATTTTTGTGAAGTGTCATGGAAAGTACCACTTCTGGTTTTTCATATATAGTAATACTTGAGAAGTTTTGGATTAAGTCATAACATATCTTTTTAATGAAATTCTTTGAGAGCTCCAGTTGAAATATCACTCCGATCTTAGCAATTTTAGCCCAAATCTAATATATTGTTCCCATTGATATAAAAGTCTTAAAATTGAAAATTTTGTATTATATTTCAGTATAACATTTTATTAAGAACTGTTATGAGTTCCAAGTAAAGTAACACTTCCACTTGCCCAGTTTCACCCAAAATCTAATCAACGTTTTATATGAACGAAGAAAGCAGAAAAAAGAAAATAGAAATTTTTGGAAGGTTGGATATAATTGTTATCGTGGACGAAAAAACTCACTGCAGAGAGAGAGATTATTGTAAAAATAGTAAAAGCGTGTTGTGGGGACCATAATTCGAACTTATTCACTGAAAATATATTCTCGAATTTTGGAACTGGAAACATTAATTTTCTTACATATGTGTATGCGTTGATGGGAGGTAAAACTTAATGCTATCACTACCAGCAGAGTTTTTTGGTGTCATGAAAGTTACTGTAATGTTAGGAAAAAAATAATATTACTACTGAAAATTTACATAAAAGATGCAAATCTTCATTAATTAAGTTGTAAAGTCATTATGATTTTTTTTAATGTAGAAAACGCGGAAAATGTGCAGTGCTCGCGTCCAAACTCGAATCCTGGATCTCTCGTCGAGTGTGCTTCCAATTACACCACAGAGGCTTGTGGAAAGGAGGGAAATATACATTATATACTCTCCTTTTTTTAAAAGTGCTACTGTGGATTAGGAGACCCAATCGCCAAATCCTGGTTATGACGAATAAAGCACCACCTTTTAGTTCGGGCGCCACTGTAGAGTCAGTAGGAGTTTTTGAATCAGGAGAGATGAAAAAGGTGCACTGTCCTCGCCGGAACTCGAAACCTTGACTTAGGAAACACGCGTCGAGTATGCTTTTTATTAGACCACGAAAGCATGCTGAAGGGAGAAAGAATATACCTTATATACTCCTCCTTTTAAAGGGCGAATGAGATGTGAGGACTCAATCGCCAAATCCTCGTGGTGACGAATTATCGTCCACCACCTTTTAGTTCGCACGCCACTGTAGAGTCATTAGAATTTTTGAAGCAGAAAAGTTGAAAACTCTGTAACGGCCTTGCTGGAACTCAAACCTGGAGCTTTCGAATACGTGTCGAGTGTGCTACACGAACACCACGAAGGTCTGTTGGAAAGAGGAAGAAAATGCCTTATAAAGTGATGGAATAATAAATTCGAAGTTCATGAAAATAATTTAAGTATACAATTTAATCTTTCGTAACGAACGCTTGCGGTAAAGTGTTTTAAAGAATTAACATCTAATGAGCCTAATTTCTTGCTGAGTTTTCATGTATTAAATATTAAAAAGTTTGATTTTTCTGCGTAAAACGAAATTTAATTTCAAAGGTTTAAATTACGTATAGTCTAACTGTTTATGATTCTACTGCACGCAGTAGAATCATAAGCAGTAGCATCATATGCATATGCCCCATAAGGTATTTCTCCCGCCTTCCTAGCGTGTCTTCGTGGTGTGGTGGTCTGCACGCTGGGCCGGTATTCCAGAGGTCCGTGGTTCGATTCCCGGCGAAGATGTTTGCTAATTTTTTATCTCTCTTGCTTCCAAAAAATATTTAATGGCTCTACAGCCCAGTTAACTGCATACTGCACCTGCACGCTTTATCCAGTTCTTTTGCATTTTCTGGCCATGTCCTTCCTCTCCAATCTTTGTCTCCAAGTGAGCCGCATTCTCGATCTACATCACCGGAACATGTCGGTGATGCTAGAGATCCGGTAACAGCTAGAAATTTAAAAATGAAGCACATGAATATACATAGATTTGCGAGTGATATTTATTTTTAAATTGTTACTGTTGATTGTGTAGAACTGTTTATTTATCTATCTATAAGTTATTGGTTAAGAAACGAACGACTCATAATCCGAAATTATTGCATTGTGGTTTACAGAGTTGGGAAAGAAAAAATCAAAAATATGTTATTTGCCGAAAGGACTACATGGAGAGATAGATTTTACCTCTCGAGATCTGTGAGTTATTATTACAGAGGCTAGGTCTCATAAGTGTGCTTTTCAAACGTGTGAAAAACTATGGAATATTACCTAGACATAGCCCGAACTACAAACGACGCTCACATAGTGGTAGACTTATTTTTTTTAGTTCTTTTCCGGCTATATAAACCACAATGCAATAAGCACATTAACTTTGAACATATATATCGTCCTTCTTCTTTTACTTTGTATCTAAGCGCCATAAGACTCTGAGACTCACTGCACTCAGTTTCACTATAAATTTTTCCAATAAGATTTGCTGTTGTTATATTTTAAAGTTTTCATAACGTGAGATATCATATCGTTATCGAAACTCCTTGTTCTTCACTTAGCTGTTGCTTTATCAAAGTCATATCTTTACAGATATACACAGAAATCTGGATATTCAATTCCACATTATTTCAGTTTTGTCAAAAATCGGAAGTATGGATAAAATCTAATTCTACTTTCGAAACGCATCTAATATCATAGCATAATTGTGTATCTTAAATAACATAAATTTAGCCAAAATCAGTAGTTACCAATACCTAAAATTAATGTGTTATTTTATATGAGCATTGACAAATATTCACGAAATCAGTATTAATATTAAATATAAATCATATTCTAATGAGTTTCGTTAAGATGCATTAATCAATGTATGAATTTACTTACCGCAAAGAATAAAAAATATAAAACCATTCATAATTGATCCTAAATTTCAGTGAAATTTTCCTTTATGCATCTGTTGAAAGAAGAGTAGGAGTTTATTATCTACGATCTGGGCTTAGGGAAACTTTGCCCTCAACCATGTGATTGAATGGAGAAGTTTTCCCACGGAAAGTTTCAGTTGTTACAGACATTTGCACCCATTGCAGACAAATTGATATAAAATGCTATCCTGATTTCAGATGAATTTGCTATTTTTAATTGATATAATTTTTATAAGATAATTCCTTACGATAAACTTGTGCAATACAAATTAGACTACTTATTTATTTGCTGAATTTCTTCTGAAGCTATTGAAGATAAATAGAATGTTATTGTTTTATGCTAATCAAAGGTTCTTATCTTTCTTTAATAGTTTCATGCAATAGCACGGCGAAAATAGCTCTCAATAGACGTTCGCCAAGTTTGTACTTCCAATTCTTTTGCGAAATATATGCATAAATCCGCTTATATAAAAATGCATAATGACAATTAGCTGCTAATGCGCTGTAGATAAGAAACAAATGTATGTAAATTATAACAATATTTGCAAATGCAGCGCTATCTGATGAAATTTCAGAATTTAAAAATATTTCTTTCAAGCTCTCAAATGATCAGTTTTCGGAAAGGAAATATAAACCAATTAACGTACAAATATAAAATGCACGCTTAATTTTCATGCGTAGCTGATTTAATCAAAAGTTCCATTCGTTTATTTATTAATTATGATTAACAATATATTTGTTTACAATAAGTGTTTGTTCACAAATTTATAATAGTTCATGCAAGCTAATATATATATACTACTGGTTTAGTCTACTAAGTAGTGTGACTAAATGAGAAGAGAGTAATTAATTAGGCTAAATGGCAAGGAAGAAATTTTAATAACTGAAAAATGAAGACAGACTTCAGACAAGAGTTTTGAAAATCATCTTTGTATAAGAAGATATTTCTTTCTGCAAGTTCAGGTTATGCCAAATATGTAAATTTCATCTAATCCTCATTACGTTGATTGTGGATTATTCAGTTACGTTGATTACTCATTACGTTGATTGTGGATAGTTCATATGAAGGACACGTTTGAAATCTCGGTTAATGAATAGGCTGCATCAAGATTTCATAGATTTCTGTATATGTAACATGGATACGAGCCAGTTTCCCTCAGAACGTCATTCACGAAGGCTTCCTTCCTCTTGGTCAGAAAGCTCTCAAGGTGCTGATACTAATTATGAAGTTGCTTATGTTATAAGGTGTTTCTCGCGCCTTCTTGGCATGCCATCCTGGTGTGGTAATCTGCACGCACGCTGAGCGCGTATTTCAGAGGTTCGTGGTTCGATTCTCTGCGAAGGAGTTGCTCATTTTTCAATATCTTGCGTGCTTCCAAAAATACCTAATGTCTTTACAGTGGTGCCCGAACTAAAAGGGTGTTGGATGATTATTCTCCGCACCCAGGATTTGGCGAATGGGTCCCCTAAAAACCCCAGTTGCCCTTTAAATAGGGGAGTATATAAGGTGTTTCTCCCGCCTTCTTAGCATGCCTTCGTGGAGTTGTGGTCTGCACACTGGGCGCTTTTTCCAGAGGTCCTTGGTTCGATTCCCGGTGAAGGCGTTGCTTATTTTTCAATATCTTGCCTGCTTCCAAAATTACCTATTGTCTCTATAATGTAACCCCCAGAAGGGGCCTTAATAAGATAGATAAGAAAATTAAGCCATTGAGGGATGGCTTTAATGAGTTAGCAGGTGAAACTCCAAGAACAATCCAGAAAGTAAGGTAAAAGGGGGGAGACCCCTTTTCTCCTTTACTGCATGACCCTCGTGTTTTTTGCTACGAGTATATTCAAATAATTTAACCTGACGTACAGTTCGACTGCTGGGGTAAATTAAGTGAATATTTGAATAATTAAAAACATCTGAAAAACCAGAATCACTGTTCTAACCAACAAATTGTTCAACTTCACTACGAAGAAGAAATTTATCGTAATAGAATTTATACAATAACGACATATGATGCAGTCTTGCTAAAATGCTCTCCACCTCCGTAGAGAAAGCCCTAAAACTCGTTGTTATTCCAAGTAACTATCCTCTTTGTCTTTTACCTAGTTTGTAACGGATTCTCTGTATACCGCTACCTTAGAGCCTTCTGCTGCAGTTCTGTAAAATATAAGAGTTAAAACCGCATTGTAATATATATCTTTAAGAATATATTTCTTAAAAAGAGAACTTGAGCTGAAAATTTTCTTTTAGAATGCGTTAATGTATTATCACCTTTTTAATACAGATAATTCAAATGCTCAATAAAATTTAACTTTTTTATCAATCATAGACACCCAAGAGTTTCAACCTGGAACTAATTTAATAAATCTCTTCCCAAACTTAAGCTGGGAGATCTTACAGTTTTGCCGCCTTTTGAAAAGCCCAAAGCCGAGTTTGCTTCAAATTTAGAAAATGACATTCACCCTTGCACCAATTACTTATACTATTAAAATAGTATAATGAGAAATTTCAGTGTTTTAAAGACCTAGATCAGGTATCATAAAGGGCATGTGATCAGCATAGCAGAAAATTTTAATATTATGAAGCAGAGGAACTCCTAAAATTTGTCGACTATAAATCCTTAGAATAATGGAGTGCTCTACAAAACCTTTGACACTTCCTCATCTTAATAGAAAGTATCTGCATACCACCGGTGACATTATAGTGTCCATCTCTGCTTTCATCTATCACCTCCTAATAAATTTCGGTTATTGAACTTGAACAGTATTTTTAGTAATTTAACTGACGTAAAGTTTCGTTTCTCTTTCAGGTTAACCTATAAGGAATTTCTCCCGACTTTTTAGCATGCCTTCGTGGTGTAATGGCCAGCACGCTCAGCCTGTATTCGAGAGGTCCGTGGTTCGAGTCCCGGAAAGGGCATTGCTCATTTTTTATCTCTCTTACTTTCAAAAAATACCTAATGTCTCTACAACCCTACTATATATTCTAATTTATATAGTTAATTCTAATTTATATAGTTAAAGTATGTCTAAGTGAAAGAGAAGTGTTATTTAAAAAGCCAAGAAAATAGTCAAGTCTCATAAACCTTCTGTAAACGAACAATGCAAATGTAGATGTGACACCTTTTATCCATTCGATAAAACCAGAAAATCAGACGTATGTGATAAGATATTGAGTTCTTTGAAAAGTGCGGTATGCTAGCAGTTTCCACACGAACTGCATTTAAGTATAACAGATGTTAGACTCTTATATATTTTCAACTAAATTTTTAAATCTCTTTACCAATGGCTCTCGAAGTCCAATGGCATGTACATTTGCAATTGATCACGTGGAACAGCCTTTAATTACTTGATTTAAAGAGATATTCAGAAATAGGAAAAAAATCTGATGTGGACAGCACCTGAACTCTTTCCATTTAATATGGAATGTCATGTTCTAACATTGCACCAATTCAAGACACGATATTGGAGGAATATCAACGAGCTTTAGAGCAAACTTTCGATTTATAGTATGTAAACAACATCTAATATTAATTTAAAAGTCAAACAACAAAAATCAGCGTTATATTTTCAAATTTTCACAGGACTAGTTTCGATGATTTTACCGACCCCCATCCTCCTGAAAAAAGCGCAAGGAAGAGTAGGATATATGATTCGATAAGATAGAAACGACAGAAGATAAGCTAGTGGCGCCATTGTTGATGAAACACACTAAAACAATTCTTTAAGGCCGAAGGCAAAGATGGATTGCAATTAGGATTGTTAACTAGAACCAAAGATTTTTTGAATGTGAAATGGCATAGAAAATCCAGTCCAATGGAAGATGAAAAGAAGGTGATTTGGCTTTTTTCGGAATGTCGGGAACAAAAAATGGTGTTTCTTTTTTTCACTATCCCTCATGTTCTTGAGCGAAATTTTAAGCTTTCTCAGTTTGGCCAATGTAAATTAAACATTAAATTCATTTGCGCTTTGCAGCTGAGGATGGTGGCGGTAAACCTCGAAATGTCTGTGAAAATTCGAAAATATAACGTTGATTTTTGTTGTTTGACTTCTGAATTAGTATTTGTTCGGCGTGTTACTGTCTTAATATCTAATATGCTTACAAAATTGATGGCTTAGTGTTAATTATGAACCTTTTTTTATTATTCTCTTCTCCCATACAATAAGCAATGATAACTATACTTACTCAAGTGCGCTTCAGTTCTCTTGCTTTGATTTCAAAATATAGCATTGATGGTAGCATATTCTCACTGGTTTAGTGTTTCGGATTTACAAATCAATGACTTAACAAAAATTTTAAAAGAAGCATAATTTTAGAAATTTCGATAGAGTGTTAAGTATTACCATATATTTCTTTGCATATTTGCTAAATTTATATTTGCTCTAATAGAGGTTCTCAATCACTTTTGCCCCAGGCATCTCTTTCGCTATTACTAGGCCATTCTCCCCATCCTTCATTTCCAAAATTCGAAAAACACATATACATTTATTTTTAACCTCTTCGTCGTCTCTGCGTAACGCGTCTCTGCGTTCAAGTGAAACTTCGCAGGGCGGCCATAACGCGCCTCAAGGGTTCTTCTATATTAAAACTACAGGTTTAAAACGCTTTCTAAATGTTTACTTGTTTGAGTTTTTATTTTTGATTGTTCTAATACCTAGAGGGTGCATAACAGGCATTCTATTTCTAGTGAATTTGCCCGGGTTTTATGATTCAAGCCATTTTATAAGTATAGACAGTGATAGATGGCTTCAACGTCTACTCAGCAGAAAAGAGAAAAATGGATTGTGAATTGGAAAATAAGAAGGATATACGTTTGCTGAGTACAGTCCATAACTCGATGATCGATGTTGGAACATAGAAAAGAACTGTAAAAAAAAACAATAATTGTAAAAGATTACAAAACAAAATGGGAGAGTGGACCGCCTGGATCAGATGTATCAAATTATCCTGCTGTTAGAAATAAGCAGAGATATATTATTTTTCCATTATGATTTATTTCCTTATAATTTACTTATTCATTCATTCGTCCCTACGAAAGTCATGTATGGAAAGTAATGATGTACAGAGAAACAACATACAGGCTACGAAAAAAGACGGCCGCTGGGGTTGGGAATTTTCGCGGACAGGAGAGGACGGCGAAATGGTTAATGT